GCAGGTCAGTGCATTGGCTTTGTCAAGGTCTCGCGTGTGTTCCTGGAGCCTGGGCTGGGAAGTAGGCGCCTTCCACCCTGGTTTTCCTCGGCTTATCCCGATGAGAGAGGAGCAGTCTATTGACAAGTCAGGATAAAATGTAACTCTTTCCTGGTTCCTGCCCACCAGGAAAATACATGTGAGCACCTCAAGGCCCGCAGGATGAAACTGGGCCACTGAATACCATCTTGGTTTGATTATAGAACCATGCATTTGTATCACTTCCAGCGCTGCCCCACCCCCACCCGGGTTTCTGGGCCACTGAAAACTCTAGGGGAACTTGGAGTCCCAACTCATTTTCCTTTTCAGAACCATGAACCGAAACAGTAATAACAATAATCACAATTATTATTAACAATTACTGAGCGATAAGTACCTGGGAAGCTCTGAATCAAGAACTTGGTATGTTTTATCTCATTTGAGACATACAATAAGCATTACATGGTAGGCACTTGTAATTATTCCTACTTTACAGGAAAAAAAAACCCTGAGGTTTAGAGAGGTTAGACTCTTTTTATCTGAAGTTAACAGCTAGTGAAAGAGCCAAGATCAAGGGCAAGTCTTTCTGATTTCACTCTTAATCAGAAAGCCAAAATTCTTAATCACAGTGACACCCTACCTAGCGTGGGCCAGTTTCCGCTGCTGGGCTGGGACTCAGAGGTACCTGGGCTAACACAATGCAAAAACAAAAGGGCTTCCATTATTTTTCATGCCGGGAACAAATACCCAAGGGGTCAGGCATCAAAGTGAACTGTCTTGATTTTATCAATTGCCTTTTCTCCTCTACTTGCCACTTGAGACTTTGCTGTCCTCTGCGTACTGACAAACCCTCTCTTACCTGGAGCAGAAATGTTTTTCAGGATAGAATAAAAAAGACTCACCCCCCCCCCAAGTTAACAGCACTCGAGAGCTTTGCCAAAGCTGTAAGGCTCACGGGGCTCACCGCTGTGTGATGGGAAGCTCCAGGGACCTCAACCTTTGTACTTCCCAGGCTGCATCTGCCCACCCAGAAAAAAAAAGGGGGTAGTTAACCTGAAGTTAAATTTGGCCCTTACGTATTCTCTCGCAAAGCCTTTCAGGTGTGAACAAAGTCTTAAATCCTACAAAGGTTAGAATGGAAAGCATCAATGTGTTACACATTTGCTCAACAAAAACTGACTGGGCAAGTTCAGCTAACAGTGTTGCACCAGCGGTAATGTCTTCATTGCCACATATGAACAATGATTAAGTGGAATGTCCACACTGAGGGAAATAGGATAAAGGATATATGGGAACTCTGTCCTATCTTACAACACTTCTCTAAATCTAAAATTATTTCACAATAAAAAGTTTTTGCAAATGTGCTGGACAGGCTGGGTAAGAAATTCCCTACAGCACCCTCTGTAAGACTGACAGTCAGGGCAGCATCGCTGGCGGGGGCAGCTGGGCTGAGCATCTGGAGTCATGGTCATCTGCGAAGCACCCGTGGTCGGGCGGCAGCGTCTCTCTAGTCCAAAACCCAGAATAACGTAGCCTTGCGAGCCAAGGCTTAAATGAGAGCTAAACAAAAAAGAGAATTTCATCACGATACTTCACATGTGGGCCATAAACACACACAGTTAATAGACATAAAACATCATGGTACGTGGTGTGGGATAGGCAGTGCATGGGGGTGTGCATGGCAGAGAAAGGAAGGAAACATATATATATGAATGAAATGAAGCTAAAGCAGAAAAGAAAGAATCATTTGTGGCACTCATCTGAGACCAGGGGAAGAATTCACACATTTGTATAAGTAACATGATAGGAGAGATGGAGTAAGATACAGGGATGCTGGTCCTCAACACAGAGAACTTCTTTCAACATTTCCGAAGTTTCAAAACTACCAACCTAAGAATTATTTAGCACAAGAAAATTGTTCTAGAAGGGTTTTTGAGAGGCACTAAAAGGATGGGATTCTTAAGGCCTACAGAAACTCTGCAAGAAAGTTTGGAGAATGATCAAACCTGGGGTTGAGAAGACTTTCAAGGATCTGAAGGTCTCTTATTCAAGGGCAGAAACCATTTAATCTTCATCTATAAGACTAGAAGAAAAGAGTTTCGTCCAGTTTTGAAACCTCTTTTCAGATATGAGGAAGAAGTTCTTGAGATGATGGGTGGGGAAATATCTCACTGGGTCCCTAAAGGAGGCCACCACATTGTCTTTGGATGACACTGTAAGGACAGGAGACTGCCTTTCATGAGGGTTTAATATACACCTGCCTTAACGCGCCAAGGAGGACTACATGGTCGATTTAAGGTCTTCCCCAATTCCTGGCATGACAGCACACAGGGCATATAGCTGCCTTAACATTTCTCCGAAGAGTGCTTGCTAGAGAGGAATCGGGCATTGTTATTCTGGGGACAGAAAGCGCCAGTCACATCACAAAACTCCGGTGTAAAATATCCCTTGACTGATCCAGTTTTCTAACCTTTCTTCCTATTTCAGAGACTCTCTGAAGACATATGACCGTGAACCTGCAATTCAGGAGACTAGCCGATCGGGTGCTAAGCTCTGATCTCTTTTTCAATGAGACAGCTGGGGTAAATTCACAAGGAAATAAATCATGGCCCCAAACCAGACTCTGAAGAAAAGTAAATAAAGGCCATTACTCTCCTGACACTTTCAGGAGGAAGGGGTGTTAATATCCATTGATACCCTATTTAGAGTCCCCTTGCTTGGGGAAGATTTTTAGATAAATAACAATTGTTCAAAAATTCACATTGTTGAACCTCACCCCAAACAGCTTGGTAAAACCACATTCCACTTTAGCCCCATTTGTCTTCCATTTATCTTTTAGTAGAATAATTTGGTTAGACACCCCAAGGCCTCCCCACTAATGACATCAAGATTTGCTAAGGAAAATCAATGTGTAAGCTGCCTCAGTTTCCATCAAAGACAACAAGAGTCATTAGAGTCTGAAGCGCAGCAACCGCCCTCCAACTCTTTGAAGAAACTCCAGGAGTGGACCAGAGACAAGCACAGGGTTAAAACCCAGCTGATTCCTGGGTTAAGAGAAGGATGCCAGATCATTTTTTAAGGCGAACACCTGGAAGGAAAAAAGTAGTATTTTGTTTTTACCTCAAGAAATTGCAGACAAACATAAAGCAAATCACATCAGTGGAATACTCAATTATCTGAACAGGCTAATTAACGAACTGTAATCAACCGGCTTTCAGTCGTCTCTTCACCTGCTGTAACAGTGGTAGTGTGTCGCCTTCCTCCTTCCTCGCAACCGGCGGAACAGTAGACAGTCTGCATGATGCATCCGAGGGAGACAAACAGGCCCAGATTTTTGCTGATGACAGGAATTTCTCCTGCTCAGGGCATATGAACCAACAATATGGAAATGGCAGCACTGGCTGTGTATTTTAATTATTGCCCCACACCTACTCTGCAAAAGAGACTTATTGTGCAATTAGGCAATATGATGCTCAGTTATGGTTATTTCCTAAAACTAAGCGCAGACAGTCACTTAACGTAGTAAATATGCAGTCATGACAGAATTAAATATTCATGAAATCAAGAGAGAGCGACTGGAAAGCCGAGGATATGAGAGTATTAAAATTCATCATAGTTTTTACAATGTAAATCTTGTATGCATTTATAAGGCACCTGGGTCCGGTCTAGAATATGTTGAAACTCCAGTTTCTTGGTAGACTGCCATTTAAATTACAATATTGATTTCAGTAGATAAACAACAATCTCAATCCTTAGCTCAGTTGCAGTATGCAAAACAGTTTTGAACATTAGCAAATACCAACGTGAGAAGTCGGCCTGTCTCCAAATGCAGAACAGCAACACTCAATGTGATCCCGATACATTTCAGATACTTGTCCAATCCACTAGCAGAAAGGTCCAACAGAGACCAGGGCGAACTCCTAGGAGGGGCATTTCATGACTCGCAATTCTCTTCTAGCCAGCAGAAGTGACTATTTTCTTGTGCGCTTTCTTAAGTGCTGACCACTGACTGACCCTTCTTTGGTTCCAATATTCTGAGTTGTTGAGCCAACTTTTCCCCAACATTAGCAGCCTGTTTCAAAATGTATTAACAAATACACAGGTACACTTTATACAGACAGCTAAACAACACTAGCTTCCACAAAACTGAACTCCAAGTGTGTATGAGAAAGATGACTGTCCTCAGACACAAAGTGCAGCAAATATACTCTAATAATATCACTGAGGCATTACTGCCTATGCCATTTCACCTATTCACAATTTTCCCAACAGAAGAAGCAACACCACCAGAAAATAGCATTTGAACCTTTTTTTTTTTTTTTAACTGGAATTCAGTTTCCTGGAGAACTTCTCTTTCCACAGCAAGTAGTAGTAGCTATCCCCTGGTCTACAATGACACAGCAGGGCTCCTCAGCAGCCAGGCACTCTGTGCCTGCCTTTCCAGGTAGGAGGGTGCCAGGTGAGGCGCAGGACCTGCGGTTTGGAGCCGTGTTAAGCAGTGATCTCCTTTCTACAAAAGAGGCAAACTTTGCTCCCATTGTTGTCATCTTCAGGTTGTGATGTCACCTCCCTCCAAGGAGTCTCAGAAGCCACTTGGCAGCCCCTGAGGACATATGTTTCCCCCTGACCTAGATCATCACATAAGCCCTGGGTCTACTGTGCAGAAAGCAGAGGTCTCTCAACACCGCTCTCCTGAGGTGTGGGCTCTACCCTGGCATCACATCGCACGAACCCAAGACTTTTCTCTGCACATACCGCTGAAGGCGGAAACCAGGGCAGACTTCTGCACACGCCTTCCAGTTCAGAAAGTCACTATCGCCCATCGATTCCCTTAAATCTCACGCCTTGCCCACATCTGCAGCCCCCACCACCACACAAACGAGGGAAGGAGTGGGGGGAGCGGAGGGTTTAAAGTGACAGCCACTGCTAGAGCTCCTCGGTTTTGTTCAAAAGGTGTCACAGCGCCAACACTGTGGACCTACCTTGCTCTCTCCTTTCTCGCCGTTGGGTCTCGCCTTGGGATCGTCGCTGTCCTCAGCGCCTGCACTCTCGCTGGGCAGTTCATCCTGAGCCAGCTGCTGCTGCTGCGGCTGGGGCTGGGGCTGGGGCTGCTGTGGCGGCGCCTGGCAGGCTCCGCCAGCCCCCTGGGGACGGGGGATGGGCTCCGGGCGCGGAGAAACTCCCTCAACATCCATCTCCATCTTCCCATTCACTGGAGGGCAAGACAAAAGCGAAGCGGAGACTTGGCAGCGGCGCCCGGCTGCTCCTCAGCTGCCCGTGGCACGCTTGGCTCGCCAGGGAGGGGCCGCCTTCTGCGCGCCCTCCCTCCCGCCACCCTTTCCCCCGAGCTCCCCCGCAGCTCCGCTTGCCTGCTTGGCTTGGGCACTGGCAGTGCCTCGGCCGGGGAGCGCGAGGAGCGGGTGGCCGCTTGTCCTTGGAGCAGTGGCCTTCAGGCGCCCCCGGCAGTCCCGCTAAGCAGAGCGCATCCCGGCGGCAGCTGCGACGCCTGCCAGCCGCGCGCCCAGCCCCGGGGCCGCTCGGGGACTTGCTCTCCAGCCCGGCCTCCCGATCTTCTAGGCTTTCTAGTCTCTCCTAGGGCCCCTCGGTGTTCCCCCCCCTTCCAACCCTCTGAACAAAGTTACAGGAAGAACAAGCCAGATCGCGGGGATTTGCCAGACGAAACTGACAGGAATAGGGAATGTCAGGTGCAAGTGCAATCTGCCATCCCCGCCCGCTGACCCAGCGCCAACCCCTCACCTTTGCCCTCTTCCCGACGCAAAGGAGCCAAGGGAAGGAGGGTCTTCCGACCGGTGCAAGGTGGTGGCTGCGAGAACTGGAAGGAGAAGAGCATGCGGAGAGCTGGCGGCCGGTGCGCCCACCCCCAACAGCAGGCGACCCCCACCTCCACTCTGGCCCAGGTCTGCCTTCCTCTCCACCGAGCGTGTCTCCGGGGTCAGCCACTCCGATGAGCGCGAGCGGGTGTCCGAGCTCCGGATCTTCCCTACGCTGGCAGCCACGCTCCACACAGCCCAGCACGAGAATTGGAGTAAAGAGGAGAAGACAGCAGCAAATTCCCGGCAGGAAATCGACCTACCCTCGCCTGCCTCCGGCCGAACGCGGGCTGGAGCCGGGAAGGGGTGGGGCCCCGCGTGGATGGCGCGGACGCGAGTCTCTCAGCGTGCCGGAGTTTGGCGTAAAGGTTGGCAGTGGAGGGTCGATGAGCGAAGCGGAGGGAGAAGCGAGAAATCACTACTGCCAGGCATTTACTGCAATGTACCCCGGGGTGGGCGCCAGCTGGGCGCCAAGGCTCCCAAGTGGCGAGCTCTCCTGGGCTGGAAGGGCGTCCTCAGCAGGGCAGGTCTCTAGGAGGTTCCGGAGGTGACCCCAAGCCAGGCGGTGATCTGCGTCTATAAATATAGATAGATAGTGATGGCAAGGGTTGACTTGGAAATTCTGAAATCGGGGCTCACGACAGTCAGGTGATCAGGATGACTTCTAAATTTAACACCACTTGGTCCTGGGAGTAGCTTACAACTTCACGGGAACTGTTCCTGCAACTCTGCACAACCAGGAGGGACCTCCCAGCAGCCACGGCGAGGAATAGCGGGTCATTAAGAACCTGTTCAATGTTAAATAAAGCCCATTGTTCTGGGCTTTGAGCTTCATAATGCCCCCAAATGGATGAAGAGATAAATGAACAATTCATGCATATCTTAGCAGAGGGTGGCTTTTTTCCCCTAACATATAATGTATCACAGATAACACTTGCCTAATGAAACTAGAAAATTGCATTGTTCATCTCGTGACTGCTTTGCATTAACTTAAGACAACTTTTACACATCGAGACACACTGCCCCGGCGGAGGCAGCCACACAGGCACTCAGGATTGGGTTTTATCCTTCAGCTCAATCTCTCAATCCCCGACTCTGTCTGGAAGGGAGAGAAACTGTTTGCCACTTTAATTTATCGGTGTAGACAGCCAATCTAGATAATGCAATGGAAACATGCTTTTAGGAAGAAAAAAGTTTGGGAATGGCATTACTGTCTCTTTTCCTTCAAAATTTCTAAAAAGCTACACTTCACAATCATTGTCTAAACTGAGAACTTGTTGAAAATAAAATGAGCCTGAGATTCACTATATGTTTAAAATAACATTATGACCCTTTATATAGTACTGTGCTAAGAAAATAAATATAGAGCTACATGCCTTTAAAGAAGTTACTTAATCTCTATTTCCTCCTTAGTACATTGTAATACATCAATTCTTATAGTATGTGTTTTATAATGGTAAATTAGATTATCTGCATAAAGGGCTTAGCAAAGCGCCCCAGGCCGTGGTGAGCACTCCCCAGCCGCTGCTTGCTGTGCTGGGAGTAGTAAGATAACACAAATTCTCCAAGGAGCGCGGGTCTGAAGACCTTGGTGTAGGAAGAAGAAATTGCTGGTTCAGTTCATTGTTTTTATATAAATTGCTTTAAGAGATACTTGGTATCATCAAAGGTTCTTTCCCGCTCCTTCTGCAGGCAGGCAGAAAGTCAGTGCAATGGTGCTTTGTGCAATAACGTTTTGAATTTCCTTCTACAGCGTAGGGAAAAAAATTACATGTCATTTCCCACAGGAATTGGAACAGCTGACTGGTGAGTCGTCATTCTTCCATGCTTGTTACTTCCAAAATGTGTTTGTGAGTTTCTTTAAGGCTTAAATGAAGATTAAATCAAAATAAAGATACAATACTTCAGCTATGTTTGTTCTAACTTTAGGCATGTGATTGTAAAGACTCCTATTGCTAAATGCAAATATTTTCCTTTCTCTGCCCTTCTGTTTTTCGGGGACACTGAAAAAATTTTTTGCATCCATCATAAGTAAATACGGACTCAGAAAATATATTACATTTCAAAACTGTTGATTGCACCTAATTATGCATGCAAATTGCCACTTCAAGCATACAGACAGCTTGCAACATTTTGAAAAACTTGCCCTAGTTGTCATTTGAGGTATTCGTGTTACTATTTTGCTTTTGCCTTAAATGACTTCATTTCCCCATTAGCGTTCAATTAATGACGGTCTATGAATAATTTTGACCTTGTAATGTCTATCGTTTGTTTAGATGATCCAAATGAGCAAATCGGCACTTTCAAGAAAATGCGTATTGCTTATCCCAGACCATTGGATTTTTTGAATCACTGAGAGGAGTGTTTACTGGAAGGTGTCCTGGAAGAGTCATCTAACTCCAAATGTGGCGGATGGACCAATAGCATCACAACACGTATCGTTAGAAATGCAGTCTCAAGCCTTACCCCAGACTGACTAACTCATCAGAGTCTGCATTTTAACAAGAGCTGCAAGTGCTTCCTGTCACCCTGGAGTTTGAGAATTGTCACTCTGACCCATCACATAGCTGGCCATTCAATACTATGATTGTTATTGGTACTGTTCCCCTAAAATACTACTCAGAAAGCCTGGTGGAGACAATGCAATCTTAGAAACCTTTTTGTGTGTGAAGACATTATAGTCCCTCTCCCCCCTCCCCCCCCAGGATCTTATTGTTGCAAAATGAAAAGTTACATGAATTAAGAATGTGTCTGTGTTGAAATCTCTGGTAATGAATTAAAAGCATAGACCTTTCTAAAATCAAAAGCATTAACCTAAAAAGGGAATAGCACTTTATCCTGAATAAGTTTTTATGCAAACATGTGAAAGTCATTCCTAGAAAACTTGGCTATTCTTGACCTTCTACCTAAACTTGAAAATCCAGTTTCCACTCGGCTGGGGTTATTGCTACCTTCCACAACAATGCAGGCAGAAACTGCCAAGTCTGAGTCTGTGCAGTGACAGTCTAATACACCTTCAGTGATTTCACATAAGCGTGGGTTAAGTTACATGCCCCAGCATTTTTAGGAACAAACAGAACTTACTACTTTTCAAAGGTTTTCTTGAAAAAAATAAACAAAAGGATTTCTTGAAAGCACATGTGCACAGGTTGGTAAATTATGACTTGAAAGAGCCAGCAGCAGTTCTCACCTTACATGTACATGAAATCACCTGGAGAATGTTGTGGAAATGCAGGTTGTGATTCAGCAGCACCAGGTTTGGGCCTGCGTCTCTGCATTTCTAACTAACATGCTTCCAGGTGAAGCCGGTGCTTCTGGTCCTCAGATTTCCTAGACTTGCTTTATCACTGCCGATGGTCCTCAAGTTTTAATCACTTTGGGAGCTTTTAAAAATCTTTAATGCCCAGACTACACCCCAGACAAATTAAATCCAAATCTCTGCAGGTGCAATCTAAGCATCATTAGTTTTTAAACCTCCCCAGGTGATTACTATGCGGAGCCAAGACTGGGGAAAAAGCGCCGTACATCAGTGAGTCTCCAAGTGTGGTCTCCAGACCAGCATCAGCAGCTTCACCTGGGAGCCAGGTATGAATGCAACTGCCAGGCCCGCCCCAGGCCTACTGATTCCCCATCTGCACTTGGAGATCTCCAGGTGAATGTACACACATGTAAAGGCCGAGAAGTTTAGCTCGAGGGAATCCTCGTGAGATGGGGAGGTAGCACTCAACTAGCAGCCACCTGATCCCAACTCCTGTGTCTTAAACACCTACATGCATTCTGAGTGGTCCCACAAACCCTCTGGATAAAGTTCCAGTTGATAGGAGGAGTCTACGAGCATCCCAGGCTCTATTTTAATGTTTCTGTGGTTAGCAGTACTTGTCCGATAGAACATTCCACAATGATGGAAATCTGTATCTGTGCTCTTCCACCAGTCACATGTGGCTATTGAACACATGAATTATGGCCAATGCACCTGATAAATTTTCACTTTAATTTTGTTTCATTGCCACTGATTTAAATGTGAGTAGCATCAAGTGGTTTTCAGCTCCCCGACTGGACAGACCAGCTCCAGAGGAATCAGCCTTCCTGTTGCTTAACACTTATTCAGATTTCCAGGTTGAACATGGGCCCCTCCTGCTCGGTTTTTGTACATATTACTCTCCAGGGAAGTCACCAGGATGAAAAACATCTGCCTTCCCGCCTCATTTACATAATAAGTAACATTATGCTTATTATTTTGAATGAGAGAAGTTTAACTTGAATTAAATGCCACCAAAAGTTGTCAAAACCTTTTTCATAGCATTCATAATTCCGCAGCTCTAATTTTACAGTCTTTTCAAACATCAGCACACGTGGGGTGTGTTTGGAACTGCCTTAAGAAAAAGAGACAGAAAACTGCAAATGACTTCTGGGTAGAGGACATAAAGACACCCCCTTCCCCACCATCTCATTGCTGCATAAGGGGAAAGTTGAGTAAGTTAAGCATTTATCTTTGTTGAAAATAAGCATCAAAACTTGAAGATTCCTCTCAAAATGGAAGATGAGAGACAAAACAAAGGAGGAATCAAGGAGTTAAGGTGCCAGAAGATAGTAAATAAAATTGAAACTAGAAATGTATGTAGTTGTTACCTCGAATGTAAACATCCAATCTGTGGACTCAGTGGGATGGGACAGGAAGGGACCAGAGGGGAGGGGAGCGAATGAAACAACAGCAAAAAACCCTGATTTAAAGGCCGGCACCAGCCCCGAGAGTCTTCCCTTCCTCAGGTGGTGAACAACAGCAGCAACCACAACTACAATAGCACTGCCGACCAGCAATTAAGTGTGTTCCATACATTCTCCCCTGCCGTATGCCAACAACCCTGACAGGTGAGAACGATCAGGAAAGAGATTATTCGGGGGACATTATTTGAATGGACCCATCGCAGAATCAAAGTAAGCAAATCCCTGCTGGAGAGGGAAGAGGGTAGTGTTGAAACAGAATCAGCCCTTTTCTTTGATTGAAAGGGATGTGTGTTGTTTGTAAGCTGAATTAACCGCAACCAGTCTTATACCGAGAGGCTACCACGAGGGAAATATTTCAGCAGGGACTGTGCCTTGCCCGGCTGCTGCTGGCCTGGCACTGTGTGATACAAGATTAGACCCACAAAGAAATGTGTAGCTAAGGGAAACAGCCTCACTTCTGAGGTCGGTCCCTTGGTGGCAACTGAAACTGATAAATAGACTGCCTTTGTTGTCCTCAGGAAAGAAACTCCAAGGGACTTCAGAAAGGACAATTTCAGGAAGCTGGTGGTGGGCCCAGAGGCCCCTTCTCCAGCCTCTCCTTTTCATCGGAAAGTCAGGGCAAATTTATCATCCATATTAACCCAGCTCAGAAGAAAGGAAGTAGAGTGCCTGCAAAGGGAGAAAATATTTACTCCCTTCGGGGATGGACTAAAAAGGCTGAGCCCAGTCCTATGTTTACATAACCTTGCTGATCTCAAGACTAGCAACACAGCTCATGAATTAAGCCACAAGCCCTCACCGTTGTCCGAGGCAA